AGAAAAGTCTTAAAATGCCCCAAGCAGTGAATTCAAAGACTCAGGAGGAAGTGACAAGTGCTCTGGAGAAAACCTACATTCATTCAGTTTATATCCTCTTGATATTTGATCACATGGTCATTAACCAGGGCTCAATGTTCTTTGCAGTTCATATTTAAGATAAAATTTATAGTGAAAGGCTCAAATCCTAAGTACACTCTTTGATGAATCCTGCTAACTGCATTATTTTTACAATAAAAGTCTTATGGCAGGGCTGGAGAGATGGCTCAGTGGTTATGAGCACTGGCTGCTCTTCCAAAGCACCTAGATTCAGTTCCAAGCACCCACATGGCAGCTCTCAATTGTCTGTAACTCCAGTTCCAGGGGATCTGACATGTTTGCACCAATGCACATAAAATAAAGTTAAATAAATTATTTTTTAATAGTCTTATGGAGACACAGAGCATAAACAGGAGCCTGCGAAGGTTCTCTGTGTCCTTTCCGCCCACTACCCATCAAGGCAGCCACTTTTTGTTCAAAGATAACTTAATTTAGGTTGATTTGTAAGTACTTTATAAGTAGGATTTTCCCAGCATGCTCTTTGCTGTGAAGTTTCCCTCCCTCCATAGAATGACTTTGCTATTAACTCACAGTGAGGTACGCAGTGCCAGTTGGCTCTTTTTATTGCTAATGAGTATATACATTGTCTGAATAGCTCAAATTTGTTTGTGTGTTCTCTCCGACGTTTCCTGCTTGGGATACTATGATGAGGCTGTTAGGAGCATCCTTGCAGAAGCCTCTCTGAGGCCATGTGCTTTCATATTCTTACAGGGTAGATGTCTTCTTGTCCCTCTGCCAAGATCCACAAGGACTGTGATCCGAAGCAGGCTATGTAGATGCTGCACACATAGGTCTATGTGGGGACAAAGAGCATGGCATGCCCAAAGTCCCTGTCTTATAAGGCAACGGTGGCAAATGTGACCTTTTCCCTGTGGCATCTAACAAAGTTGATAAAGTATAATTTCTGATTGTCTCTGACATCTCTAAAGTTAAACTCTCTGTTTCTGTAAGGGAAATGTATGTGGAATGTTTGGCCTTCACACAGGTCCTAAAAAAAACATGTCCCTAAAAAGACACGTTTATAATAGTTGGGCTCCTCTAAACAAGAAATTCTGAAATTACTGAGTGCGAACGAGAACAGATCATGAGGCACACAACAAAACTCATTTTAAAAGTTTAGAGAGAGAGAGAGAGAGAGAGAGAGAGAGAGAGAGAGAGAGAGGTGCACAGGCCTGAGGAAGTTGGTGCAGGAGAGAGCATGGGGCTGGCATGCCGGGCAGTTAAAGACTGCCTAGCATATGCGCACATGGACTTACGTAGTTGAGGCATGCATAAATCACTTGACCATGCTACACATAGGTCACGTAGGGCTTGAGGGCCTTGGGTGGCTATGTAAGTTGCTTGAGCTCTTGATGGCACATGCACGGCCCAGAACCTGGAAATACCATCACTTGAGGTGGCTAAGCATTTGTCAAAGTGCTACGCGATGGAAATGATGACATTTCACCTTTTTGTTCATTATAAAAATTTGGGAGGGGTTAGGAGTGTGGAAATGGGGTGTCGGATCTTCGAGGCTACTTCCTGCTGGCTGGTGGGTGTCAGAGAGTTGGGGTGCTTGGCCACGTCTTGGGGTAGTTGGTTACTTCCATGTTTTCCAGGCCTTGTGTAACTGTCTGGCTGGCAGCTTGAACCTGACAAGATGCTGGCCAGGTAGAATATTGTGTTTAGAAAAATTTTGATCCTGGTGACTAACGGAGGAGGGTCCCAAGATGGAGGATAGAGTGGGGTTCCCCAGGGTTCCCAAGATGGAGGAGAGAGTTTCCCAGGAGTCCCGTAACCGAGGAAGAGTTAAATGATTCTTATCCTAGGTGATCAGGGAAGAGTTAAATGATACCCTGGGCCAGTCTGGTCTGTTCAAGTGGGTCCTACTCAATGGGTCCTTTTGTATAAAAAGGTACCAGGTATAGGTGGCCTGAAGCAATGTGCCTTCCTGTATGTGTGAGGGGTGGGGCAGTAGTTCCTCTAAGGTTTCCATGCAGGAATGAGACGGGGGAATAGTTAGTATTAGGTTGAGGTAGGAGATTTGAGATAACAAGGGGTGGGCAGCATTGGAAAGTGAGTGCAGCATCTTCCACTAGAGCCACCTGGAGGGAAAGAGCTTGGGAAGCAGGTAAAGTTTGTAAGCCTTGGTAAGTTAAGAGATGGGACAGATTGTAGTGGTAGAAAATAGTGATGGGTGACCCAAAGGTTAGTTTTTTTGACTTATGATTAAGGAGCTCAGCAGCTGCTAAAGCACATTTGCAGGGTGCTCAGCCCCCAGTGGTAAGGTCTAGCTTCTTTGACAGGTACGCTATAGGCACAAAAGAAGGTCCCAACTGATGCCCTAGAACCCCAAGGGCATATCCCTCCTTTTCTGTTACATAGAGGGAGAAAAAAATGAGTTAGGTCTGGGAGATGGAGAGTTGGGACCTGGATAAGGGCTTGTTGAAACCTCTGGAAGGATTTAATAATGGGATCGGGGAGGGGCTCATTCGCAGAACTAAGACCATCTTCATATATGGGGTGGGCAAGAAGAACAAAAGAGGGGATCCAGGAACACAAGAAGCCAGCTGTTCCTAGGAACGATAAAATCTCCTCTTTTGTAGAAGGGACTGCAAGAGACTGGATTAGTTTTTTCCTCTCTAAGGTAATAGCTTTTGGGGTTGGGATAATAGTTAATCCCAAGACTATGACCTGAAAGATAGACAGTTGGACCTTAGAAGGTGAGACTCTCTAGCCCTTTTTGGACAAGAAATTTGAAAGAGCAGAGATATTAGTTTGGCTGATCTCTAGGGACAGACTGCAAAGTAAAATATCATCTACATACTGTATGAGTTTAAAATTGGGGAGAGACAATGAAAGTAGACCAGAAGCTAAAGCTTGATCAAATAGATGTGGGCTGTCCCGAAATTCCTAGGCAGGACAGTTCAGGTGAGTTGTGTGGAGAGGTGAGTGCTAGGGTCAGTCCAGATGAAGGCAAAGTTATCTTGAGATTGAGAGCTAAGAGGAATAGAGAAAAAAGTCATCTTTGAGATCCGGAACTGAAAAATGGGAGGCTCCTGGAGAAATAGTGGAGAGAAGTGTGTAAGGGTTTAGGTACTACAGGATAAAGTGGGACCACTGCAGAGTTAATGAGCACGAAGTCTTGAACAAGGTGATAGGCTCTGTTAGACTCTTTAACAGCAAGTATAGGGGTGTTAAAAGGAGAAGAACCGAGGTGAAGAAGCTTATTTCTTAGAAGGTCAGAGATGATAGGTTTAAGTCTCCTAAGGCTCTGGAGTTAGAGTGGGTACTGAGTTTGGGTAATGTACCTGGTAGGATCCTGTAATTGGATAACAATGGGGGAATGGTGTCTAGCAACAGATGCGTTTTGTGTGTCTCAGACTTGGGGTTTTACCTGAGAGGCTGGTAGAGGAAGAGATACGTTGAAGCTGGGAGGTTGGGAGGCTAGGAGGAGAAGGAGAGGAGCTGCTGGCGAGCCTGGGGTAAGGTGAATGGGAGGAGCAAACAAAATAGAAGCTCCCACTTCAGCTAAAATAATCTCTTCCCATAAGAGGTCCAGGGTAAGTTGGCATGCCTAAAAATGAATGAATGAGAGGAATGCCTTTGAAAATGCAATTGTGTGGTGGGGTCTGATGAGTTAGATAATGCTGTCCTCCTACCTCAATAATAGGGAAAGTAGAAGGAGATGTGGGTACCCCAAACTCTCTAAGTACCAAGTATGGGGCTCTGGTATCCAAGAGAAGGGAGATGGCCCATCCTGATACTGTGATATTTACCCATGGCTCCCTATTACACACGACAGTTGTGGTCGGGTCAAGGGAGCCTGGGCAGCCTCAGTCATCCAGGGCCAGACTGAGAAGGTTGGTTTGGGAGTTGTCTGGGTCTGATGTCTCCATTCCATTATGTGCATGAGGACAGTTGATCACCCAATGTCCTTCCCTATGGCACTTCAGACACAGTCTTGTTGGACCAATATGAGGATTAGGGCATGCCCAGGCCCAATGCCCCATTTTACCACATTTAAAACATGGGCCCGGTGGCTCTTGAGCCCCAGGGTGCAAGGGAGTGGCACAGGCAGGATGGTCAGTTGCCTAAGCCGGTCAAATGGTCTTGGCCAGCATTTGACATTTCTGTCTACGGTTCTTATCATGCCTTCCATGGCATACCTTAAAAGCCAGCCCTAAGACTTCTGCCTGTGGGATATCAAGGGGCCTTTATCCAAATAATTAAGTTTAGACCTAATGTTGAGGAAGCTCTGGGAAAAGAAATGGGTTATGAGGAGCTGTTTGTCCTCTGGGGCCTCTGGATCTAAATTAGTGTACTGCAAGAGAGCCTTTGTGATGTGCTCTAAGAATGCAGATGGATTTTCATTTGGGTCCTGAACAACATCTAAGAGTTTATCATAGTTTACTGGCTTGAGGGAAGCCTTAAGGAGATGCACCAGGAGGCAAGTTGTAAACTAGCCTCTAGCTAAAATAGTACCTGGGGTGTTATAATCCCAGTGTGGAGCCCACTCAGGGATGGCTTCTGTCCCAGGGAGGTGTGCTGCATTAGTCTGGTGAACCTCATCTGCATGTACTCTGGTCTGCTCCCAAACTTGCCTGTGCTTCTCAGGAAGTAGGTTATTAGTTAGGATCATGAAAATATCATGAAAGGTGTGACTATAAGATTGAGTAATGTATTAGAGTTGTTTTATGAAAGAGGTAGAATTAGATGTGTAAGACCACAGTTTTTGTTCTACGTGAGAGAATTCTGAGAGCGAGAAAGGAACGTGTGCCTTGACCATTCCATCCACACTGGCTACCTCTTGCAACAGAACTGCTGCTGGTTGGTTTGGTCAGGGTCGGGTCCCTTAGCAGCACGCGAGCTGTGAGAGGAGGGGTAAAAGTGAGTGCTAGAATCGGGGCAGCTGCCGCAGCATGGCACTGGAGAGGAGGAAGGATCCAGAGGGGCTAACGGAGCAGTTGATGGAGGAAAGAGAGAACTGGAGAGGTAGAAGTAGCTGTCTGCTGAGGTTGGAAAGGTGGGGGTTCATTAGCAGGGTCCAGAGTGGAAATGGGGTATTCCTGCAGCTTAGATGGTATAGTCAGGAACATGTGAGCAGGTGAACAGCTTGTAAGGACAGAGGGCTTAGAACTTAGATAGAAAAAGACTTGGATATGAGATAATTCTTTCCATCTTCCTGTGCGCTGACAAAAGTTAGAAAGTTCCCTCAGAATATTGGGATCTAAGGTACTGTTAGGTGGCCACTTTAGGTTATTATCTTATGTGTACTTAGGGTATTTCTTAGTCCAAAGGCAGATGATCTTGGGAATCTGTGAGTAGAGCATGAAGAATTGAGGTTTTAGGGTCTCTAAAAGACACCCCAGGGAGGAAGGTGGACTGATAGTTTTTGAGGGTTTATTTCCCATGGCTAAGAATGTGAAAAAGGTGAGGACCCAATAGCAATTAACCATGAACATCTTTGGGATAAAGCGAGGGTTAAGGGCTAGGTCAAAGTCAATTTGATACCTGTCCATACAGGAATTAAGGACTGGATAGGACCACTCTGAGTGGCCTGAGAGAGGACAACAGTCAGAGAGATGAGGACAAAATTCAAGTGGTGAGGAGTCAAATCTCAGTCCTTAGCCAAGGGGAATAACCAGGGATGAATGTCAGCGAAGGGCTTAACCATAGCCTTGAAGGTTCCCCCTCGTTTCTTGGAACACCATAAGGTTGCCGGGAGATCAATGGTTAAGTCCTAGGGTTCAGACAAACAGTTAAGCTGACCAGAAGGGAAAAAACTCACCGATCAAAGCCACTGGATACTTGATAATTCCTTATACCATGTTAATGAAGTCTGTTGCCTTCTCCCTCCCCTTTTGGAGTGAAGTGTATAAACATGCAGAAAATAAATAAATTCTTCCTGGTGCTTTTATTTCTTTCATATCTCTGTTCCTTTTGCTCGGTAATTCTAATCCTCATGCTTCTACCTTGGAATGTGTGAAATTCATTGAGGCTGGACCACCATGAACCCTCACATGACTAAACAGGTTGTTAGAGTTTTTCCTCATTTCTAAGATCTGAAATTTGAAAACAGTATCTGAATATGGCTGACATATAAGGCTTAGAGAATTACACTTATATCTTTGAATAATTAATTTTATTATTTTTGTTTCGTAGGAGAAAAGAAAGCTCACAACTTGTCAAGAGTAAAACAAAGAAGGCCACAAACTGTACGGCCAAAAAGTAAGCAAGCAGCTGGACGGAGTTACAGCTGTTGAGTTTTGTAAGGTGTTGCCCATTGCATGCTTGGAGACCTGTGAGTTTCTGAGCCTTAGTAGTGTGTGTGTGTGTGTGTGTGTGTGTGTGTGTGTGTGTGTTGTATTTACACTGGGCATATGGGTACACATACTTGCACCTACAAGTTATAGGCCTGAGGAGGATATTGAATATCCTGCTCTCTCTCTCTCTCTCTCTCTCTCTCTCTCTCCTTTATTCCCTTGATGGTTGTCAGCCAGTAAACCCCACTGAGCTTCTTGTCTCCCGTCCCTTAACACTAGCATCATAGGTGCACACATACATATTTTTTAAGTGGATGCTGGTATCTGAACTCAGGTCCTTATGTTTGAACACTGGTGGCTCTTAGCCCCTGAGTAACCTCCACCCTCCCACAAAAGGTTTATGTAGGTCGTGTTCCAAAGAAGGTTTAATGAAGCAAACAGGTTGCAGGTGTATATGTGCAAATGTGTGTATGTGCCCCACCTATCCATTCTCCTGCCTTGCTATGGGCTGTTCAGCTCTTTATTAGACCAATCAGTTGTTTTAGACAGGCACAGCAACACAGCTTCACAGAGTTAAACAAATGTAACACAAAAAAATGCAATACATCTTTGCATCATTAAAACAAATGTTCCACAGCACAAAGTAATGTAACACATCTGAAAATAATATGCCGCAGCATGAAACCATTCATTTTGTTTATAAATCCAGGCCTTTCAATGTAACTATTGATCTGTCTAGAGAGGGAGATGTACGTAGAGATAGAAAAATAATCGACAGTCCATTTTCACAAATGTTCATTGAAGGGCTGGTGAGACGCTCAGTGGTAAAGTGCTTGCTACACAAGTTTGAGGCCCTGAATTTCGATCCCTAGCACCCACATAAAAAATGACATGATTACACATCTGCAATCCTTCACCATTGAATCCATCAGGTTTGCTGAACAGCAAGCCTAGCCAACCAAACTGATGAGTTCTGGTTTTGGTGTCAGATCTTGTCAACAGTTAAGATGGAGAGCCACTGAGGAAGACGCTTGACTTTGGTATCTGGGCCTCCACACATACATACAGAGGAACACAACGTGTATACATTTGTATGCAAAAATGCATGCACTGGCTATATTTGGCTATTAGAATAGAAGTGATGTCCATATTTTTATTTGTGTTTAAAATATTGAACATGATCAAGTTTTGTCATTAGAGGAGAGAGAGAGAGAGAGAGAGAGAGAGAGAGAGAGAGAGAGAGAACAATCAATCTTAGAAGATTTTTGAACAAGTTAATCATGGTGATGTTTCCTACAATCTTATTCCTATAACTTGTATATATTTACAAACAGTACCCTACCATCCGATTTTAGTAATGGTCTAAGGGATTCCTTCTTGATGGACAAAAGCTAAGTGTCTTTTTCTAAATGATTATCAATTTTGCATCAGATCCATGAAATTGGCTTTGGAATCCCATTCAATATTAATTTCACCAAACTAAGAATCATACACTCTTGACAATGACCCAGCTGTGCTCTAGATTGATATGTGTTGTTCTTAATTTCTGTTTGTCCTCTGGGGGTAAAGACAATTACGCAGGGAAAAGACACAGACACGCGGCGGTACCACGTGGTACACTTTTTAATGGGAGGGGAAAACACACTAGGAAAAAAAAAGTGAAAGGAAGGGACAAAGGGAAGGGTTAAGAAGGGGCGAACTTGTGGCTTGTCCTTGCTTTTAACAGAGGATGCAAAGGCTTCTGGGAAATGTGTCCCGCGCTTGCCGTGCGCTGGAGTCCAGAGGAATGTTGGGAGTTGTAGTGTTGCAAGGGAACAACATTTCACCCTTTTGGTTTGATTAAAAAAAAATTGGGGGACCTTAAAGGGTAGGGAATGGGGGCGTAGTCCAGTCTCTCATGGCTGCTTCCTGCTGACTTTGGGCGTTGAGGGGTCCAGGGAATGTCCGATTATCTTGGCAATGTCCCACTGGCGTTTGCGGTCGCTGGTGCAGTTGGTCACTGATGTCCATGTCCAGGGTTGCTGGCTGGTGTAGTTGGTCAATGATGTCCAGAGTTGCTGACTGGTGTAGTCGGTCGCTGATGTTTGAAGTCCTGGCTGTCGTCTGAGGCGGCTGATTGAAGAAATCTGTGTGGCTTTTCCTGAGTAGCTGGGTCATCATTAAGATGCTGGAAGGCAAAAGTTGCATTAGTAAAAGAAAAAATTAAAAGAGGGGGGGGATTTTTGGAGAGCTGGGGTGAAGAGGGGGGGGGAGAGGGTCTTAGGATGTCCGGGGTTAAGAAATGATAAAAACAACAACAATATGTATATTTTTTTGTTTAGAAAGGAGAAGTGGTGGTTTTGTCTATCTTTTTGAATACATATTTTGTAAACCACATTTTTATTCAAGTCTCTGTGTAGACAGATTACTTTCTAATGTGTTAATACAACAGAATCCTTCACAGGCTTTAACTTTGACTTCTACTTGCTTAGACACAGCTCCTTGTTGTGAGCTCTCATCCACAGTGTGTTCAGAAAGTACTCTGACTTAACAGAGTGGCCTCCCTTGCTACTTCCCAGTTTTCAGCTGTTGCTTTGCTCAATCTGCATTTGTCTGTATCTCTCCTAGATGGCAGCAGAGTTGGTCGCCAGGCTGTCAGGAGAAAGAAAATGAAAAAGAATCCAGGCCGTTCTGCCAAGACCAGGGGTAAGATGGCCTCTGGGGGTCTTTCCCTACACCCATGAGTGCACACAGACTTTGTTAGGATTTGGGGAAAATCTAAAGCCTTAAAAATTTCTACTCAGGCTTATCTATCAACTTGAGAGCAGGAAAATCTCAAAGCAAAGTTGTTTGGAGCAAGACTGTGAACTATATTTATATCATCAATATTATGTGTCCTAATTTCTTCCTTACCTTTGAGTTGGTCTCTTAAAGGCTATTGGCTGAAGGAGTGGAAAAAGCCCCTACAGCACCACACATTGATTATTAAAATGTCTAGACTTGGTGAAGTATAAGCAGAAAGCAAATGTTCTCTCTCATATCCCTTTTCCTCCTCCCTTTGGGTGAGTTCTTTTTAATTTTGAGCAGACCGTGTAACTTCCCAGTTCTTAGAGCTGGAATGGAGGATGGACGGCTGCAGGGAAAAGTTTTCCCAGTGGGCTATGGGTGTGGGCTGTCAGAAGGAGAGAGAGGAAGGAGGTATTCTCAGGCATACTTTACCCTTCCAGAGTCCTGGTGACATCCTGGGTAAGAGGGAGGAGACTCCCTTGGAAAGTTGTTCCTGAGTGGAAGCCCTTCTGTTGCTGGTGCTCCCACCATGTACAGAGAGGAAGCAAGGGCATTAGTTTCCATGACAGCTTTATGTAGCTGAACTAACCACGGAGACACTGCCTGTTACTCACTGTCTCTGAGAAACTAGAATCGTGATGATACAGCTGAAAGAAGACCAAGAGCTCTGGGCCACGGTAATGCTGCCTCCATTCACCGGGAAGAGTGGAGACAATCTCTGCCATACGCGGGGTATCACCCACCAGTGAATGCACATCAAGGTGGCCCAGAGTGGTCGGAGAGACCTGGGTCCAAACCTTTTCTTCTATGACTGCATGGACTTCGGGCTATCCCTGGGCTCTTCTTTCCTCAGTTTCTCCATTACTAAAGAGGAGGGTGATTTATGTCAACCATCAGATGTCCATTGTAGTCTTGATCAGCTACTGCTCAAATAGTATCAGCATCACAGACAGTTCTCCCCTCCCACACCACGGTCTCTGCACTGATGACAGGCAGGGAAAATGTAACTCCTCATCTCTCCGAAATTTGTTTGAGGAATTTTCATCTCTATTTCTATGGAGTTGCAGCTCTGCTCTACATAAGAGCTTTCAGATTATTCTAGAACTTTTGGGGGTTCTCTCTGTTACAGACAGAAAATGCTGTTGTGAGGGAGAGGTGGAGCAGAGCAGACAGAAAAGGAATTCCACCCAACTCTGCTAGGTTGCCCATCATCTCTCCCTTCTAGTCCAGTCAGTGCTCAAATGGGGGAGATTAGAGGACCATCTCTGCCTACCATCGTTAGTACAATAGAAGAGTCAGGAAGTGCCTATTTCATGGCCATGTAGCCATCAGAGTGAGAATAAGGACAGTTTATCAAAGCCAAAAGTCTCCGGTAAAGCTTGTTCTTTTTAAAAATATGTTAGAGGTAAAATATTTGTCATTATGTATCCAATATGCCACTTGCAAAAAGGACTTAGAAGTTAGAGATCTGAGGAGCGAAGTGTTCCTAGTGTTAAAGGAATGACCCTAAGAGAGAAGAGGGAACGTGCACACCTGCAAAGAGACAGAAGAAGAAATCTTCTTTTTTTCCAGTTCCGAAAAGGTGCAGAAATAAAAATGCAGGTTTCAGTGCTGAGCTGCTTCCCGTGACATGTGGTAACGTGAAGGGAACATTACACAAGGATAAATTCAAGCAAGGTAGGTATCGTGGGTTTTTTTTTTCACAACTGCTAAATAAAAACATCACAAGCAATAATGGAATTACTTAAGGAACTAGAAGAATTGGCTTGAAAACAGGAAGGATCCTAATGCTTGAAGAAACCATGCCTAGTAGATGCTCGCAATAACATGTATGGAGCCATGATGCCCAGAGAACCAGAGAAACTTCCATTAAGAAATGGAAGCTATTGCATATTTTCCTCCCAGTCAGACATAAATGGGGAGGGACCCTCAGCCTCTGCCTTCACATCCCTGTGTCAATAGCACCAGGGCAGGGCACTTGTCATGGTGAGAGCATCACAGGATTGAGAATCAGAGAACCCAAGATCTAGACTCAGCTTTGCCAAGAGAGGAGGTCTCTTTGTGTAGTGTGGGAAGGACTTTCTTGGCATGAAATTCCTCATTTTTAAATAGAGTACAATAATATAAAGCCTGACCCATAGTATATCCATGAGGATTAACTTATATTATTGGTATAACATATTCTGGTTTGCAAAAAAAGAAAAAAATACACAGCCGCCGCCCCCCTCCCCAAACCATAACCCACTATGATGGACTTCATCTCAGATCTCTTTTATTATGAGCCTGTGGATGGCAGTAGATATAAATACATTGTCACTATTTTTAACAGCTTTACTGAGTTATAATTCATATACCATATAATTCAGCACTTGGAGTCTATGATCATTAAGGGTTTCTTTTTTGGTACACAGAAGAAAAATTACCGTGCAAACATATTTGTCCCCCTCTGTCTATTAGGAGTTGATACTCATTCCTAGTTCCTTCTACCGAGCATTCACCCAGCTAATTCCTGGCCTATAAATCTGCCTCCTTACACACTTCATACAAGTGACATGCCTTAGCGTATGGCACTTGTGACTGCCTGCTTTCACTTAGCATGATAACATCAAGCCTCATCTGTGTAGTTTATGCAATATATACTTCAAATCACAAATAATGTCATATTCCATTGTATGATTATTTCATGTTTCCCTCATTTATTCAATTTGCCTCATTCTGCCTTGGGTTATAATGAATAATGCTCTTTTGATAATTTGTGTATACCATTTATGTGATATAAACACTGAGTTTGAGGCACATACACAGAAGTGGAATTGCTGGGTCATAGGATGATTATATGTTGAACTCAGTTATGAATTACCAAATGTTTTTGGTATCGGTTACATTGTTTTATATTCATATCATCAGTGTGTGAGACCTTCAACTTCCCTACAGTAAATAGCTACTATTTCTTGTTTTTTGTTATGGTCATCTTGGTGGTATGTAAAATGGTGTTGTGATTTTGCTTGCATTTTCATAACAATGAAGATGCCCAAAACATAACTATTTTTTTTATTAACCATAGTCTGTATTTTCGTCAGACAATATTTACTTTTGTTAATAGTACTTACCTCCAACTGCAGTGATGGCCAAGCACCTGTTCAATAGTCTCATAAATTTGGTTAGACAATGATGCCACAGAACTTCCGAGTTGCAGAATCCAGCTGCAGCCTCAGCTCTAAGATGAGGACTCCACCTCCACCTTGCCGGGGGCCTCCTGGGACGGGTTGTTCTCCAGCCTGAGAGATCAACACCAGGTTGAAATCCACGCACCCTGAGCAGTCAGTCACTACCTTGTCCCTTTCTACATGACCCTGAAACAGTTTTAAAAAGATATCTATTGGTGGCAATTGTCATTTTCTTCATGCATGAAAATCAAAGAAGCATGAAAGGCTTCAACAAAGCCCTTTAGGGAACTCCAGGGCTGAGCTGGGACTCCTGAAGCCAGAAAGAAGGCCAACTCTATTGACTTTGAGCACACTTTGGGTGGTTCCAATTCCAGTGTGGGCCATGAATCTGAGCTCCAGGGACAAAGCAGGCTCATGATCAGTCTACTGCGGTCTTACAGGGATCTTCGTGAAGTCCATACAGAGTGAAGCTGGGGGCTGGTACACACCCACTGAGTTTGAAAACTTGGGAGGCCATGGACGATCAAAGAACTGGAAATTGAGTGTGCGCTGCTACAAGCGGCCCCTGAAATTCCTGATCCAGGTATTGCAGTGGAGGGGGGAGGGGGGTCAGTGCCTCTTCTTCTTACACTGTTTATGGATCAAATAGCTATGAGATATGGGGAATCCCTAATGCCGATAAGGTTTGCCTGTCACTCAGGAGAGAGGCAGCCCATATTCAAAGCCTCATTTCTGGAGGTACACCTTGCTGATGCTGACAAATGATAGATACAGAATCTCTAAGAAGGAAATGGCAATTCTTGGTTGGGGTTCTTGAAGAGAAATTTCTGCATTGAAGCCAAAGGAGGAGTTGACGGCCAGACAAGTGAAAGAGAATCTAGAGAAAGGACTGCTAGCAAAGGCAATTGTATGGATACAGGAGATGAATAATGTGTCATAAATCATCAACTCAGGATGTCTGTGCAGGAACTTAATGCCATCCTAATGACCTCAAATTTGAAACATTGACAAGGAATTAGTGATGTCCTTGAGGTTAGAAATTGCAGATGAAATGTATGATCATCATTGTCACCATTATTTGGTGTGAAGGGGCTGAACTCAGGGCTTCAACTAAGCTAAAAAAGACATCAGCTCTCTGCTAACCTCAACCTCTGGTTCTACTTTGCTTGCTGTGTTACTATGATAAACATTATGACCCAAAGCAACTTGGGGAAGGAAAAAGTTTATTTGGTTATAGGCAGCAGTCCATCATGAAGGGAAGGCAAGGCAGAAACACAGGGCAGAAATATGGAGGCAGAAACTGAAGCAGAAACTACAGAAGAACTGGCTTGCTCCTTGGTTCATGTTCAACTGCTTTTCTTATTCAGCTTAGGCCCACTGATAAGTGATGGCACCACCCACAGTGGGCTTCGATTTTCTGTATGAATCCACAATGAATAAAATGCCCCCACAGACATGCCTAAAGGTTATCTGAGACAGACAGTTCTTCAGTTGACATTTGCTCTTCATAGGTGTGTCAAGTTGACAATCAAACTAACTAGGACACATCTGCAATGCTGTTAGTAATGGACCATCATGGACATGATTTCCTCATCTCCCTATCCTTCAAGCTAGTTTTTTTCCTAGAATTCTTAGCTTAAATATCTCACCTCTCTTGACTGGGCCCTCACCTCCCAGAGACCCTTCTTAAACTGTTGGAGATTAGAGATTGATTCTCTGTGCTGATGGTTGTGGCATACTCTTTAAATCCAAGCACTCCTAAGTCAGAGGCAGCTGGATCTCTGAGTTCAAAGACAGTCTTGTCTGCACTGTGAGTAGGTTGCCAGACCTCCACAGAGAAGCCCTGTCTAAAAAGAAGAGAGAGAGAGAGAGAGAGAGAGAGAGAGAGAGAGAGAAGGAAGAGGAGGAGGAGGAGGAGGAGGAGGAGGAGGAGGAGGAGGAGGAGGAGGAGAGGAGAGGAGAGGAGAGGATGTGTTTCTTCCACAAACTTTCTCCATTATCTCCCATAACCAAATTTCTGTCATGTGCTCCAAATTCATCAGAACATGTGACACCCTATATGCATGAAACACATGTGTGTTAACTGCCTAGTCCTGTGGAACTAGTTCCTAGTGGAACACTAGTTCCTAGTGGAACAAGTTGAATTGTGTCCCGTGGGAACAGAGAATGTGTAATGGTTGAACAAGGGATTGTGAGGGGAAATTCTCAGCACTTGAGGAAGAGGGATATGAGGAGGTCTTTCCAGCTGCCACAGGCCAGCATCTCTAAGTTGTATGCGATGAGAGGGGAATGGAGTTGGACAACGCGGGTCTGTATGGAAGATCCAGGCAGAACTTCTGGAAGGAGACTGACAATTCCCAGTGCACACTGCTGAAATACAGATAACTACATGCTCGATCCTTCTATCTTGCAGAAAAAATTTCTCCCCAATTTTCCACAAACTTATGGCAAGAGAAAAAAGGTGAGTTCTCATCATGTGGTTTTACTCACAAAACTTTTTAATTTTATGGTGTCTTGGTTAGGTTGTCATACTTAAAATCACCTCTCCTTCCTTCCTCTACTACTTCTTTTCTGGTTTTCAGCCTGTGTCTTCACTCAGGATGTGTGTAAGGCCAGGTCTTCCTTTGAGCTGGAGATGATAAAAAATCACCAACATAGGCTTCAATAGGCCATGAAACACTCCACACTGGGCTTCATAGCTCACTGAAAATTTGAACTTCAGGCCTGTATATTATTTGTCATTTGCATTATTGTCTGACTGGTTTGGACTCTGAACCACTGGGACACATCAATCACTCAGTTTCCTTGAAGGAAACTAACTCCTAACCTGGTCAATGACTACTTTAAAGTCCATATTCTCTACCTTCCTCTAAATTCTAAGAGTATCTCTTTTTGAATCACTCAAATGAGCTAGAATTGTCCAACCCACAGAACCATTTTTAGTCCTGGATGCAGTGTTTCATAACAACAGGGGCACTTGCCTCTTCTTTTGAGCCTCAATTTGTAAGAACAGGATTCTCAGAGAAACAGAAGCCACAATCCATTTCCACTTTCATAAGCCTCACAGAGCTTCTTTACCTGCTCAGAGTCATGGGTTCTGGAATCTTCCTTGTTACTCTCGGTATCACATGACAACTTCCCAGCTCTTCCAGGACCATTTATCCTTTCTGGTGGTGGCTGATGTGTGTCAGACAGTCTGGTATGGTTTCCAGAACCATCGTTTCTGTATGCTAACATCTGCATTGAGACACCTGGATTCTCTTTTCCCAAGCGAAGCTATGTTTACTCATCTTTTAATGCACAATTGCTAACTATACACAGAAGACCCATGGACTGGACAAAAGATAGAAACAGTAGCCCTGAGGGACCTCAAGGATTGTGTCCAAGTCATTGTCCACATTACAGAATAACAAACAGTGCGGCCTGGGAGACTCTAGAACAGTGGACAGTAAGAGCGCCCTTCTCAGGTGATTGTAACACAGATCCTGCTTGTTTCCAGCTCTCGGCCCTGGACTGGGGTTAAGGGTTGAGATGGCCTGTGTCACAGAAGGGAAGACTGACAAATCTTTCCAATGAATGTGCAAAACAATGTGAAGTCCTTTTTTTGTGTCTAAATGTGCTGCTGGCCTACCTGCTCTTTGAGTTGTGAATAGAGAGCAGAAGGCCATTAAGAGAAAGCTGCAGCCCTGAGTGCCTTAGGTTCATTTGATTTTCAGGGCTATGGCCCATGGAGAGCTACAGAAGGTGATAGATTTCCTCTCTAGGATCACCCAGACCCCAGAACTCGTTGAGCCTTATGTGTTCTGGGCTATGATTGGTCTATCACAGCTTCAGGCTCACCTCAAGCTGCTCTGAGGTGAGGTGCTGGTGGTCATGGCTGATACATCCTGGATGGTCAAATTGAAGAAAAAAATGGCCGAGAGCCATTAATGTTGGAGGACAGGTAGAATTGTTCAAACCAGCCTATAGAAACCAGACACTGCCTCTTTGCCTGACTCCAAAAAGGCTTCCTGAGGACCAAGAGCCAGGAGGTGGAACTCGCTTTAGGTCCAACAATAGTTTGACATCATCTCTTTCTCTGAAGAGATACACAGGTCCATAAAAATAGGTATGGAAAAGAAGTAGATATATGTAAGAGAAACCCTCTAGACAGAATGAATTATACCAATATTTTCAATCAAAGAATTCAAGAGTGAGAACCCTCTGTCAAGTGGGAGGGACCATGGGAACCCCCTACAGGTGCGTGCGACCATGGCTTCTAAAGGCTGAGGTGAAAGTGAAATTGAGAAATACTTTGGAGTGGTCATGATCAAAAATCCTTAGTGGGAGATTAGGTGCTGGCCTTATGAGGCTGAAGCTGATTTTGCTGTTGGCATTAAGCTTTAATTTGTTAGATGGGAACACTTGAGCTGTTCCTATCAAGTTGATTCTTAGTAATAATACTAATTTTAGCCAGGGATGATGGCACATGCTTGGAATCCCAGCACTCCATGTTCCATATGTAGAAACATGAAGATCAGTAGTTCAAGTCCAGCCTTGGTTATATAGTGAGTCTAAGAGCAGCCTTGGCTACCTAAGACCTATCTCAAAAATAACATCAATAATGCTGGTGGTGATAAAACTAATTTAAACAACTATCATTTAAATCTTACATTTAACATTGTCATTGAAATTTTCTCTTTCTGCAGAGAATCCAGTATTTGTCCAGTGCCCCAGCTAACGCTCATGGAAGTACTGACTCTTAGCTACAATCCCTGGAAAGTCCTAGCCTTCGCCTTGGTACATTGCCTGTGTCTTGGTCGCCTCTTCCCTGAAGGGGGATCCCTGTCAGCTTGGGTGCGCTGCTCTGGGAGATGAACCAAGATTACCAGATTTGCTCCCCACCAAGGCAGGAGGAGCCAGTCTGGGTGTTTGGGCCAGAAGCTTCCTACCATGGGTTTCACCATGTGTTCTCATGTTCCCATCCTACCATGTGATTCACTACGTGTTCTCATGTTCCCATCCTACCATGTGCTAGCGCGTGTTCTCATGTTCCCATCCTACCATGTGATAGCGCGTGTTCTCATGTTCCCATCCTACCATGTGATTCACTACGTGTTCTCATGTTCCCATCCTACCATGTGATTCACTACGTGTTCTCATGTTCCCATCCTACCATGTGTTAGCATGTGTTCTCATGTTCCCATCCAACCATGTGATTCACTACGTGTTCTCATGTTCCCATCCTACCATGTGATTCACTACGTGTTCTCATGTTCCCATCCTACCATGTGCTAGCGCGTGTTCTCATGTTCCTATCCTACCATGTGCTAGTGCGTGTTCTCATGTTCCTATCCTACCATGTGATAGCGCATGTTCTCATGTTCCCATCCTACCATGTGTTCTCATCCTACCATGTGTTAGCATGTGTTCTCATGTTATTATCCTACCATGTGATTCACCATGTGTTCTCATGCTACCATATATTAGCATGTGCTCCCATGTTATCATCCTATCATGTGTTTCACCACGTGTTCCCATGTTCTCATTTACATGAGGGATGGAGACAGAAATCTAGATCTTTGGGGTCCCTGGGACAGAGCCTGGAGTGGCAGTGGGCATGGCTGGCTGTGGATGAAGGGTGAGGAGCTACTATGAGAGGAGACAGCATCTGTAGAAGGCAGTGTGTGTAAAGAACACGTCCCAGCATGCACCCCAAGTGCAGGCAGAGTTCAGGAGAAACAGGCCAGGCTTCATGCATGCTAGGTCTGGATCGTTCCACTACATACAGAAAGTTGCCTGCAGAGTAAGTTGGTCCTCATGCCTCATGAATTCCCTGGGGTCACTCTGAAGTGAGCCATCAGGGACCCATCTGGCTAGGACCAAAACCATCACCACTGAGCAATTCACAGAGTATTTTCCCTCAGTCACCTTAGATGGTTTTCAAGCATAGGTACACCATTTGTATTAATCAGGGTTCTCTAGAGTCACAGAACTTATAGAAGGAATCCATCTCTTCATATATATATATATATATATATATATATATATATATATGTGTGTGTGTGTGTGTGTGTGTGTGTGTGTGTGTGTATGTATATATATGTATATATACATATATAATAAATTTCAAAAATATTTAGTACATTATATGAATAACTTTAATATATATATATAGAATTTATTGGAATAACTTAAGAGCTTCAATCCAACTAACCCAACCAGGGCTTTCTGTGAGTGGAAAGTCCAAGAATCTAGTAGTTGCTTAGTCCCATGAGGCTGGGTGTCTCAGCTGGTCCTCTGTACATGCTGGAATCTCAAAGAAGTAGGCTCCACTCCAGTGCCAAAGAAGGGATGGATGTACTAACAAGACAACAGCAAGCAGGTAAAGAAGAACCAACCCTTCTTTCTTCCATATCCTTATATAGGCTTCCAGAAGAGGGTTTGGACCAGATTAAAGGTGTATCTTCCTGCCTCAAAGTCTGGATTAAAGGTGTGTGTCATTCCACCTCAAGATCTGGATTTAAGGCATTCTGTCTTCCTGCCACAATATCTGGATCAATCAGAGATGTGCCTCCATTTCTGGATTGTTCATTCCAGATACAGTCAACTTGACAACCAATAATAGCCACCACAATCCACCTCTTGTCAATCATATCTCCTTGTGTCATGATTAATTTCCAAATAAAAACAAGAACCATGTCATAATAATGCCTAAACATAATATAATTATGCCATGTACACTCACACGCACATTATATATTAACCTGTGTTGTTAGTGTCCTCTTGTTTGTTCCCAGCTGCTCAGCTCCAAAATAACCACACAGAAACTATTAATTACAGCACTGCTTGGCCTATTAGCTTATGCATATTTCTAGCTCACTTTTATTCTTAAATTAGCCCATTTCTATTATTTTATATTTTACCATGAGGCTTGTGGCCTACCAGCAAGGTTCCAGCGGGCAGCTCACGTCTTTCCCCTCTGGCAGCTCTATGATGCCTCTCTGACCCTGCCTTCTTTCTCACAGCACTGTTTAGTTTTCCCTGCCTACTTCTCTTCTGTCCTGCTATAAGCCCAAAGCAGTTAATGAATGAAATTAATTTTATTCATTAATGAATAAAAGCAAAACATTTCCCCTTTTCTGTTTAAATAAAAAAGAAGGTTTTAACTTTAACAGAGTAAGAGTAAAATTGCATATAGCAAAACAGTTATCAAGCAAGAATTGTAGTTACAATATTTATATCTACTTTATCTCTTATCATAACTAAGGAAAACTATAATCGTAACTATTCTTCAACCCCGTCAAAGACTCCAGAAGGATAGAATATTGGCTAAGTGCACTGTAAGCAACTTATAAAACTCTAAAATTGACAGATATCTTACTGCCTGGATAGTCACCCAAAGTTCTTCTGTACTGTCGGGGAATTCATCTTCAGCCTACATGACCATAGTATCCAGCAGACTTTTCCATGAAGCAGGAAATTT